TTGACTTGAGACTTGCTCCAAAGCGACTTGAAAACAGCTCTGGTAGTTATTAAATTTAAAACAATTTTCCAGTAACGCATATAATATAACTTGCGCAAACAGCTGTGATCACATTTTATAACTTAAAAAACGTTTTCATGGTCGTACGAGACGAAAAACCGCACGCCTTTCCTGGGAAGGCTTGATATATGTGCATGTATATACATATACAGGCCTTGTAATGAGGTTTTGTTGCATAATGAAAAAGGGTAACAAAAGTAAATGTAATTTTATTCAATATATATATTTACATCCTTAAAAGTTGAATTACGTCAGTTGCATATATCAAAATACTGCATTTTAATTTAATTTAATTTGAAACCACTTTAAAAATCATTTAAAGTCTTTATCTTTATAAAATATTTATAAAATATCTTTAAATTGTTATAAAGAAAATTATCAATAAAATTTAAATATGTTGTTTGAAAAAAAAAAAATATTTCTATACTTTAAAACACTTATACTATTTTAAACTTACTATTTACTGATAATAACATTTTGGCTTTAACAAAATTTTTGCCTACTATTAATAAACTAGTTAACCATTTCTAATCAACATTCATTCTAAGATCATTCTAATAATAATGATCAAGCTAATGATAATGGAAAAGCTTTTGTTTAAAAGCTTTCTAAAACAATCATCTTCTCATAACTTTATTATATATAGTTTACTAAAACAATTCTTTAAAATATTTTTGCCTACAGACATGACCGATAAATTTCAACAAAAAATATTTTTACTATAAAACTAATATCCGATTTATTATTTACTACTGGTATGTGCGGTCATTAGTATAGGTGTTAATTAGATTATGTAAGTATTAAAAAAAAAAAGTTTTATACTTTCATGGTTAGATTTGCAAGTTAAAATCTTGTGACTTTTTCGGAAAAAAACGACAACATTTCTAAAAGAATAGATACATTAAAATAATAAAAATAAATAGTTGTTTTTATTAAAATAATAATAAATAGTTGTGTTTGCTATCGTGCTAACCATTTTTACTTTAGAATATTGGTATCAACTATCTCTATTTAACGCTATTTAATAAAATAATAATATTTACGGGGAAGCTATTTTAAAAATGAAAAGGAAAAACGTAAGAAAGGTGATGATGTTAACCCCCGTTAAAAAAAAGCGTTGCTCATTAAATAAAATTCTTGCGGCATTCTATCGTTTCCACTTTTTCTGAATTATCTCAAAGAATGACGAACTTTATCACGTTGTGCACACTTTCTTTTTCTTGTGCATTTTTGGTTAAAAAATAAAATAAAAAAGAAAGTTTATATATAAGTATATATACTTAACATTTCAATAACTTTTAAATTACTAAATAATTATAAGAAAAATTCACAAAAAATACTAATCGGACAAAATGACCGATTTATGATGATTTTTACAGGATTTTGTGTCAGACAATGTTTGATGTCCGATGTCCGGCAGCTATTTCAAGCCCTGTATATATATATATATATATATATATATATATATATATATATATATATATATATATATATATATATATATATATATATATATATATATATATATATATATGTATATATATATATATATATATATATATATATATATATATATATATATATATAATTTTCAAATATATATATATATATATATATATATATATATATATATATATATATATATATATATATATATATATATAATTTTCAAATATATATATATATATATATTTGAAAATTATTGCAAATTAATAACTTTTAAATGTTATTAGAAAAAAAAAAGATAGAAATGGTAACTTATTAATGAAATACTAGCAGTAAGCAACCCGTAATACGAGTTGTTAATTAAATAAAGTTTAAAAAAAAAACACATATAGAAAAGCCTAGAAACTACTTTAAAATAGAAAAGCCTAGAAAATGACGTAATTCAACTAATAATATTAAGTTAGTGTATTATTATTATTATTAATGAAATAAAATTTAAAAGAAATTAACTGTTTTAAAACTTTGTTTTAAAAATTTAAAACTTGGAGAAAAATTGCTGTTTTTGGCACAATTTAGCTTTTTTTTGGCATAATTTAGTTTAGCTTTAGTTTTGGCAACTACAATTAAAATACTAAGCAAAAAACTTAAATTAATTTTTTGCTAAGCCTTCCTACAACATCAAGTGAAAAAATGTTAGCAAGAAACAAATTTTAATCTTAATAAATAAAGAATTTGGTGTTACACACCTTCACCAAAAACCTACAAATGATGTTATGTCAAAAGTTTTGCCAGTATGACCTAAAAATTTGTGTAAATCATTGAGTTTTTGCGTTAGAACCACTTCTTGTGCCTTCATAACAAAATGTTTTATTTAAATTCTAAATAAAATAGTTAAAATAAAAATGGCAAAGCGAGCGTTTTAATTTTGTTTATAAAAAAGATATTATGTATAATTTTTCTTTTATTATATATTTTTAAAATGAACTAATTTAAATTAAATATATATATATATATATATATATATATATATATATATATATATATATATATATATATATATATATATATATATATATATATATAAACAATTTGCGATTTTGTTTCTCTAGAGCATACCCCTTTGTTGTTTCTTTTTTTTAAAAAAACTCTTGAAACAACACTTAAAAAACCATCTCGCTATTGCGGGATTTCAATGAAATTTCCCAAGAATCCTGGTAATTTGTTTAAACATATTTTTACTCAAATTTTGAGTAATAATATTTTTAATATCTTTACATTTGTAAAGATATTAAAAATATTTTTACTCAAAATTTGAGTACTAATTACTTTTTTTTTCCCTTTTATAATGGGTTTCTATAAAAATTAGGAAGATTTCTTATAGAGGGCAATTAAATCACCAATATTTTGCAGTTTTGGTTTATATCTAAGATAGATAAAATATTATTATTGAATTTGATTTATAAATAGATTTGATTTACTTTTATGTTGTAACTTACAGCATATAAAGCTTGAGCAGACAAACCAAATCAATATAAAATAACCACGGACAAGTTACAAGTACTTGTACGCGCATAAAAAGTTATTAGTTACGCATAAAAGTTAATAGTTAGTAAGTAAAGTAATAAGTTACGTTAAGAAAGTTGTTTGTATGTAAAAAGTGAATTAAGTGAAAACCAAGTAAGTGAAGTTTAAAATATATGTTTAGTAATTACAGCTATTTTTAAATAATTTAAGTAAATCTACTATCAGCACACTATTTCAGGATTTAATTGTAGGTAATATAGTTTTATATTTATATTTTAATCAATTTAATTAATAGGATAACAAATATAGCGCATCATGTCAAAAGGATCTAAGGCATGGGAAAATTTTACAAAAGAAAAAAACACAGAATCTACCACTTGTAATATATGTAAAACAACAATAATGTGCAAAGGATTTTCAACTAGTTTGATAAATTCTTGCTTGTTACCTAATCTCAGGAAATTAATCATTTTTGTCCCGGAAATTTTTACGGGAAATAAGAAGCCCTAATATTGAAGTATAATTTAGTGACTTCTTATTGATTTAATATTGAAGTATAATTTTAGTTTTTTGCTTACGTTGTTTTGATATATCGATTTAAAAATGTTATGCTGTAAACTTAATTAACGGTTAATGATTTTTATATTTCTTGAAATTTTTTATTCAAATTAATTATTAATTTTTTTTTTTCTTTTCTAAAATTTCTTATTCAAATTACGTTTTTTTTATCTTAAAAAAGTAACACAAGAATAATTTGAAAATCTTCGTTTTTAAAAACTATTTGTTATAAGTTAAATAACAGATTTTCCCCTCAACTGTTGGCAACGGTGTTTCAAAATGTCTTTGAATTGTGTGGATCAACACAAAGTTCGTCCCATCAATAAACCGTAAAGCACATTGTCGTATTAAACCTTTACAAACTTGTAATACCGCTTCTCTATTTCTTGTACAAACTTTGCAGTAAATTTCAATAACGCATGTAGTTCTGTTGGTAATTTCAGTTCTGAAGCCTATTACCTCTTAAAATTTCCATTTAATAAATGTTGACATCATTACTTTGTTTCCTTATGGAATGTCCTTGATTGCGAACATTCTAAACAACAGAATCGTTTTAAATTTGAGTTAAAACAAATAATAGTTAATAAAAAACTTATTCTATGAACAAAAACTAATTTTAAAAATTACTCTATTAATATTTATTTTTATTATAAACGATGTGTAAAATATTACAAACAATAAATCAAATAAATCTTACTTGATATTTTCACAAGATTAAAAATATTCTGCAGTTTCAATTTTGTTATAACGGTCTTCTAATTTTTTATTCTTATTTTATTTGTGCATTTTTATATTCGCATTGTTTTTCCACGTGCACATTCCATTATTGAAATTAGTGACTTTTAACGACTTCAAACTGCTCATTCATAGTTTATGAAAATAAAAAAATAACTTTTTATAGTATATTTTTTGCTCCGAACTCTTGGACGAACGTTATTTTATACGCTCGTTATAAGCTGAATGAGTGTTGTTTATATCGCCTAGAACGTTTAAAAATACCATTTATGGGCGCATTTTACAAGCAGAGCGCGATCGCGTCTTCACAAGCCCTGTATATACATATATATATATATATATATATATATATATATATATATATATATATATATATACATATATGTATATGTATATATATGTATATATTTATGTATATAAATATATACATACATATATATATATATATATATATATATATATATATATACATATATGTATATATACACACACACATATATATATATATATATATATATATATATATATATATATATATGTATATGTATATATATGTATATATTTATGTATATAAATATATACATACATATATATATATATATATATATATATATATATATATATATATATATATACATATATATATATATATATATGCAAATAATTTATTTTAAAAGGTCATCCTGCTAGTTTGTATCAATTTAATATAACAAAAGATATCACAGTAATGACTGCGTGTGGTCTTGGTGGAAGTTCACTAACAGATGAAGGTGTTTCGTTAGATTGCAAATCAAAAGTGTTTTATGACCCAGTTTGGCCACAACTTTTTAGGGAAGATTTAACAAATTTTAATGGTACTGATCGTACCCATGCTCAAGAAATGCTACGGCCATGTCCTTATCCAGATGATTACCCCCCTCTAAAGAGAATGAATCAAATGAGAGGTACAATTAACAGTATCAATATTATTGATGTAGAAGATATTCATGAAACATTTTACAGAACCCCATTAAATATTAATTTTACTGACTTGCCACATAATCATGTTGGTTATTCACAACCTGCATGCAATGGTTGTGGAAATTGTCTAGCTGGATGCAACACTGGTGCAAAAAATACCTTAGTAACAAATTATTTACAAGATGCAATCAATTATGGCGCAGAAATATTTACTAATGTAATTTTGTTGTTTGCAAATTTTTTATTTATATAACTTTTTTATTCCTTAAAACTAATAAAAGAATTTTCTTTAGGTTGAAGTTCAAACTATTCAAAAGGATTATACTTCATATCAATGGCAAATTGAATATAATATTACTGGTAAAGAAAACAACCAGCCTAAAGTTGTTCAATCAAGTTTTGTTTTTTTGTGTGCTGGATCTCTTGGTTCCACCCAAATTCTTATGCAGTCTAAATTACAAGGTTTTGAAGTATCTGACCAACTTGGAAAGAAATTCAATGGAAATGGTGGATTATTGGGTAAGTACCTCGTTTTTAAATTAATTAAAATAGGAATACTTTGATATTGGTAATAAAGATATGAAAACTAAAAAAGTTTAGAATTGGAAACAAAAATTTTGTCTAGAAGAAAAAGGTTTTTTGACTTTATTGTTTTCTGAAATATTTAAATTTTTCAAAACTCTTTTAAGCGGTTAGTTATTGCAGTAAAAAAGAAAGTTCTTTTGCTACTGGTTTACGCACTGGAATGTACAAAAAAGGAAAACTTCCCAAAGGCTGTCAACAACCTCCTGGTCCAGCAGTTACAAGTTTTATAGACATAAGAAAAAAGCGAAGTGGTTTTATGTTAGAAGACTTGACAGTACCTAGTGCATTTTTACCACCATATATTGTTGGATCAGCAATGTCATGTGGTGCTGTTAAAAGACCAGAACCTTTTCCACATGGTCAGCAATGGCATGCAATGCTAAAAGTAATTCATTTTAAAAATTTCATTTTAAAGTTTTGTTCTTCAAAAAGGAATTTTCAAGTTTTATTCTTGTTTTTTTTTTAGTAAAAGTTTTTTTAATAATAGTTTTTTTTTCATTAAATATTTTTTTTGAACACATTATAGACAATTATTATATAAATTTTCATTTATTTAAAAAATAATTTTTAGAACATTGGAAGGGAAGGAATTGATAACACACTTGGTTTGTTTTGCATTACCTCAGATGAAGCTGACGGTGAAATAGCATATGATAAAGAAATAAAAAGAGTTTATGTAAAATGGAATAATGAACACCATCAAAGGTATTATTATAGTGCAAGAACAGGTCTAGAAGAAGCAATAAACAGCTTAGGAGGAAATGTTGGTTTCTCACCAAAATGGTCAACTCAGTTAAGTTCAGACACATTGACGCGCCATCCACTTGGAGGTTGCCCAATGGGAGAGTCAGGTGAATTTGGTGTTGTAAATCATTTCGGTCAGTTATTTATTGGTAAGTTTTTATTTTGTATATGTTTTCAAAATTAAATTTTTTTTTTATCTTTATTAAGTATTATTATATATTTTGATTTTTAATCAAAAAATACTATATTAACTTTATTATTTATCAATTGTTTTGACAAACAGTAATAATTTTTGTGCACTTTCATATTTTAAGTTTTCAATTTTAAAGAAAAAATATGAAAAAAATAAAAAGGTAATAAAAAATTGTGTTACAACATATTTTTCACTGTTGACCTTTTACAGCATCTTTCACTATTGACTTCTATATCAAACTTAACTGACATTAAAGTCAACAGTGTCTAAACTTAAATGAGTTGATGATTTTGGTGAATTTTGGTGAAACCAAAAATTTATAATACATTAGTCTTGACTGTTATTATTTTTGCAGTAGTAATTTTTTGTGTGTTTTTTTAATAATTTTAATAATGAATTCAATAATAACCTGAGAGTTTGAAAATTTTTTCAGATATTGCGATTGGCAGTATCTGGAAATACTTGTGCCTTAATTTGAGCCTTGAAAACATTAATGTAAATTTAAATAAAGATTTTACATTTACATTTTGGTACCAAGTTAAAAATTCACCATACTAAATTTTAAGTTTCATATCAAAAATTACTCATGAAAAATATCAAAAATACTCATTATTTATTAATCTTTTTTATTGTTGCTGTTATCTGCTTTATTTTTTTTTGTATTGCTTCAAAATTTATAGCAAAATTGAAATAAAAGGGAACAAAACTTTTTTCAAATAACAAAAACACAAAAATTAAATATATATATATATATATATATATTTATATATATATATATATATATATATATAAATATATATATATATGTATATATATATATATATATATATATATATATATATATATATATATATATATATATATATATATATATATATATATATATATATATATATATATATAAGATTAAAATGAAGAAGAAATATAACAAGAAAATGAATAAAAGAAAAAAAAGAACAAACAGATTTAATCAAACAAAAACAAAACAAAAAATCAATTAACAGCTAAGTACCAATTTAATTTATTCAAAACGTTCGTTTAAGTTTTTTATTAATACAAGTGATTGTGCTTATCAACCGCTTTTTGATTTATTTTTTGAAAATAAATAAAAATAAATAAATATTATATAAAGTCGCTTAGCTATTGCACAGTTTTTAATCGTACAATATTAAAATTTCCAGTTTATTACTCGCTGACTTTTTAAAAAGAAAAAATAATTATTTGAAAAACTTTAAATTACATATTTAAAAAAAAAAAATCAAATATTAGCATATTTTATAATCTTTTTTAAATTTAAGTTATGTTTTTTATTCGTTTAGTATGGACAAAACGTGACAAACGTCGAGAAAATAAACAAATGTTTTTACATTTTAAAAAACGAAACATTCCAAAACATTTTTAAATAATAACATTTCTACATAAACGATTTAAAGTAGTTTTGCGGTAATTAAGTAAATTGGTGCAGTTAATGTCGATAAATATGAAAAGCAAATAAAAAGAATTTAATGACGTCAAAAATCACGTCGTGCTTATGCGTCGCGCAATTCTTATTTATCGCAAGGCCTGATATATATATATATATATATATATATATATATATATATATATATATATATATATATATATATATATATATATATATATATATATATGTATATATATATATATATATATATATATATATATATATATATATATATGTATATATATATATATATATATATATATATATATATATATATATATATATATATATATATGTATATATATATATATATATATATATATATATATATATATATATATATATATATATATATATATATATATATATATATATATATATATATATATATATATATATATATATATATATAATAGGAAATTCAGAAGACACTTATGATGGCTTTTATGTTATTGACTCCTCTATTATTCCCTGTGCCCTTGGTGTAAATCCTATGTTCACCATAACTTGTCTCGCAGAAAGGTGCATGCGAATAATTGCAGCAAATGAACACTGGAATATAGATTACACATTGGGCGTAAGTTTTTATTTATAGATATGTTTTATATTTCATTATATTTGTTCTCAATTTATTTAATAAAATTTTATTTATTGGAAAAAGAAAAATAATACCTATAATAATAGTAGTAATATTTTTTACAACTTTATAATTTTTATTTAATAAAATTCTTATCTTTAGGCAAAATCTAGTTCAAAATCTGGTAAAGCGAGTACAGGCTTTTAAAAAATGTCAAAAAAATATCTATAGAAGAAACTTATTTTATGTGCAACATAAAATAATTGACAATGTTTCCTCACACTTTTTATTGAATGCAATTTCGATTAAATGCAATAGTTTTTTTAAGTACACAAAAAATTTTTTATGTTTTTGTTTTTATTCTTTTAAATATGTAATTTAGTTATACATTCTTTATTTTTATATTTTTATGGCTTGTGTGTTATGGTTTTAATATAAAAATTTGCAAAAGCAAGCAAAATATTTTGTTTTCTTTACCTTGTATCAAAATTTATTTTTTCATAGTTTTTAAGTTGTATCTTTTAAAGTTTGATACACTATTATTTATACTAAAAGTTGTTTTTTCATTTGTACTGATATTTTATTTTGGTAAATTTATTATAGAATATAATAATCTGTATATGCAATTATTTTTTTAAACCCCAATAAACATTTATTTGTTAGAGATATGCAAAAATCGTAAACTTTGATACTAACTCAATATTGAACATCATCTACATCATAAAAAAAAAAGTCTTCTTATATTCATTAAAACTTGTTATTTACTAAAAAAACCTGCGTTCTTACTCACTTGATAATAAACTACTTTCACAGTAATGATATTCATAAAATCATGTCAAACCATGCATTCATTTTTTCATTAAAAATTTTACTTTTTTTTGTTACAAAATTTGTGTGATTATTACAATAGACTATGGAATCAAAAGTTAAAAACAAGAGAGCTACCAGCGATAATGATTCATCTTCTGAGTCAAGTGATAATGAAGACAGCTATGATGAAGCTGTAGAAGAAAGTGAAAAGTTTGAAGTAGGCGTAGTTTAATTTTTTTTTAAATAAATGAGTTTACTATCATCATGAAAAGAAACTAATTATATATATATATATATATATATATATATATATATATATATATATATATATATATATATATATATATATATATATATATATATATATATATATATATATATATATATATATATATATATATATAAAATAAAAAAAAGGTAAAAGCAAAATGCAAAAAAAAAAAAGGAAAAGAAACTTGTTACTGTTGTTACCTTTACGTTGCGTTTTATAACTATCAAAATAATGGCAGGCTTTATTAATGTTGTGTACTTATGTATGTAATTAATTTTACAAAGGAGTGTTATACATCGTAGATGAAGAAGTCAATAAAGAACTTTTGTTTTTGTTTTTACATTAATTACCTTAATTTAAAAATTTATTAGGATAATATTATCTTTGTGATATAGTTAAATTAAATTTTATAATAATATAATTTATAATATATCAATTGACCCATCTTTTTCTCTTTTTTAGTTACTTTTGTATTTGGGAAAATTATCATAAGAGGTAGTGCCCAAATTATGGATAGATACTAGATCTCTCACTTTCTCTATATAGGGGGGGAAGATCTCTCACTTTCTCTATATAAAACTATATAGGGGGGGAAGTACTACCTCAAAATAGTTTTAAGTCTTTTTTTCTGTCAATTTCTTCAAAATTATTTATTTGAAAAAGTATTGGTAGGGGGGGGGGGGCAAATGCTCCTTCTGTCCCCCTAGTTGTTACAGGCCTGATATATATATATATATATATATATATATATATATATATATATATATATATATATATATATATCATTAAACTCAAGTTTTTAATAATACATGCGAAAGAATATTAAATGTTATGTTTTTACATATAAAGTTTTGAATAATGGTGCTTAGTTAAAGCATATTTTTATTTATAAATTTGCGTAATGTAAGTTAATACATAAATTACATAAATTTACTAAAGTTCTGGGGCTTTTTTGTTAACAAAATGAATTACGTCATTAAGTAAATTTATTTCGTTGTGTTGGTTTGACAAACTGCAACTTTTTATATATACGGAGAATTTAGGAAAAAATCTTTCACTTTATTTTTATATTAAATAAAATTATTTATATTGTTTTTTTTATTTGTTTATGTATTCTTATTTTGGTTGACATATATATATATATAAAAAAAGAAATAAGAATTACTTAAATTTTATTTAGTTATTAATTAAAAAAAGATTTATTTGATATATTCTCCTAACAAAAAAAAATCAGTTAAAACCTTTTTTATTTTTGTTTTAGTAAAACAAATCGTTTATTAATGCAATTAAGAGTGGTCATCCATAAAGCCTGTCCCCCTATATTTGTCAATTCTTAAACCCTTCCCTCCTGTCACAAACGATCACATATACCAGAAATCCTTTTCCTCCTAAACTGTGTTAGCAGTTTTTACTTGAATATTTTAAAAGATTTAAATGTAAATACTTTGTAGCATTTTAAAAATTCAACCTAATAAAAATAAGGCAATAAGTAAGAAGTGTAAGTAAGAAAAAAGTGCCACCAAAATTTTTTTAAAATTTTCTTTGTTAATTATTTTTAATGAATGAGTTCAATTCTTTTGTTACTTAACTCTTAATAATAGATATTAAAAAATCCGCGATAATAATATATATATATATATATTATATATATATATATATATATATATATATATATATATATATATATATATATATATATATATATATATACATACTAAGGTAAGCAATTTAACGTCATACTGAAATAGCCTGCTGCTGGGGGCTTCAGTACATACATCAACTGACATATAGCCTGACTCTCAGTGGAGTGCTGCTACATCAACTGAGGGTTTGGGATAGGGAAGCAATCATTAAAATGTAAAAAAATTGACATTTCTAAACTTAAATATATGGGCCATTCCACTGCGGAAAATAAAAAAGTAGTTGAATTTTATATATATATATATATATATATATATATATATATATATATATATATATATATATATATATATATATATATATATATATATATATATATATATATATATATATATATATATATATATATATATATATATATATATATATATATATATATATATTGTTATTATTATTATTATAGTATTTTCTACAATAGAAGTTTGACTTATGCAGAGTGTCTAACGAGACCCGCCTATAGTAGACCGATGTGAGATAGAACGATTCCAATTGTTGTAATTGTTTTTGAAATGATCAACTGAATTTGCAGCAACTACTGAAGCAGGCAAAGCGTTCCATGATGACACGACTCGGTTTTTAAAGAAGTTATGTCTTTTAGAGTATTTCGATAATTCTTGTTCAATTTTATGCTTGGTACCATGATGATGACCTGCAGGTCCATCACATAGTAGAGCACTTGCTCGGTTAATCTGCTGTTGCCAGTTAACAAAGTTCAATTTTTTATAAATTTTAAAAAATTGGATTACATCTCCTCTTGTTCTACGTTCAGCTAATGAGCTGAGACCAAGTTTCTTGTAATTCAAGCTGCGAAATTGTGGAACAAGTTTGGTAGCTCTACGTTGGACTGATTCTAACTTTTTAATGTCTTTTAGAAGAAAAGGGCACCAAACTGGTGCTCAGTACTCCGATATCGGTCTTACATATGCTGTATAGAGCTTCACAAATATACTTAAATTCCATTTTTTAAAAGTTCTTTTGAGTATCCCAAGTACAGAGTTAGCTTTAAGAGTGGCATCCCTAATCTGTTCTGACCATTTCAGTTTATTATTTATCAGAACACTCAATGTTCTTTTAACAGACACATCTTCAATAGGAATGTGACTGCCATTTTTATCTAACATCGCTTAGGGGATATTTATGTCTGTGGAACCACCACGAAACTTTAGAACCTTGCATTTATTTATACTAAGTTCCATGCACCAAAGTCTTGACCAATTGCATAACATATCAATATCATTTTGGACTAACGCTAAATACGTAACTGTTTTTATTTTTGCAACGAACTGGCTATCATCAGCAAATAGTTAGCAATTGTTTTTAACTAAATCTGGCATGTCGTTGATAAAGATCAAAAAAATACAAGGTCCTATGACTGATCCTTGAGGTACACCACTCAGGACATCCTTTCATTAATAAGAGAAATTTTCCAGAACAACTCGCTGTTTCCTATTTTCAAGAAAGTCCTTGAGCAAGGCAAGAATATTTTTGCCAAAACTATAGCCAGCCAGTTTATGATAAAGCAGAAAATATGATACACAATCAAAAGCTTTGGCAAAATCTAACAAAATGAGCAATGCAGCACAGTTGTCACCTAAGGCTTCTGTAATAATATCCATTACTTCAAGAAGATTTGTGATGCATGATCTAGATTTGACAAAACCGTGTTGATGGCAAGATAATAGATTATGCTTTACTAGATGTTCAGTCATAATATCTTGTATTATTTTCTTTATTAGTTTTCCAATTGCTGAGGTGAGGGAAATAGGCCTGTAATTTCCAGGACCAGTACGCTGACCCTTTTTGAATATTGGTGTTATATTAGCAAGTTTCCACCCAGAAAGTACTTGTCCAGAACCAAACGACTTGAAGAATCAAGAGCAGATAAAAGTTTTTCAATTTTGCATCAATTGAACAAGGAGCTAGAAACTGGTGAGCAAACAATTTCTGTTCTTCAAGGAAAATCAAGAGCTTGGGAGTGAGTTTTAAGTGATGAAAAAGCTTTATATTGATTATTTAAGCAATTTGCAATAGACATCAATAGTTCTCACAGTTGCCCGGCCATCAATATTATTATCATTTAAAAGATGTCAGCGACAAATTTAAGTGTTTTTAGACTGAAAAGTTTGTTTCAAAGACCCTCATGTGGTAATTAATTTGCTCTTGTGGTCTTATAAGTGCTCCATTTGTCACTCAAAAGACTTTGGCTTTCGATTTTTATATTGCTGAATGTTTTTAGAAACTTCTTTCGCCATTTATTAATCAATACAGCAAAAGAAGACAATGAAGTGGTACAACCAAAATGGCATCAAATTTGTCCCAAAAGATCTGAATCAAATTGTCCCAAAAGATGCGAATCTTCCAAACTGCCCTGAGCAGTGGGTTATCAAGAGTTACTGGGAAATGTAGTCTTGTTAAAAAGCGACAAATCAGTGAAAGATGACAAAAAATTTAAGCAAAAATGGATAGCAGCATCAAAAAAGGTAATGATAGCTTCAGGCCATGATAGCTTACCACTTACTCTAAATAAATTTAATTATTTTCTGAAATAATTATTTTCTGAAATAAGCAACTGAAGCTGCTCGTGACATATACAATGTTTATGGAGAAAGTGTCATAAGTGAGTGCACAGCACAGAAATGGTTTGAGAATTTTGGCTACTTTAAACTTGAAGACATACTTGGCAGCAGGCAACCCACAGAATTCAATGAGGAGCATCTTAAGGCACTTTTGAAGGAATATGGTTGCCAAACAAGTCGTGAGTTGGCCAAAAAAAGAACTGCGATCCTTAATCATATTCAATGGGATTTGCTGAAAAACTTAATAAAGTCTACAAAGAAAATTGTCAAGTTGCTGCTCAACATCTTGGACACCATCGAGCCATGTGCAGCGCTTTTGTTTTGAATCATTACAGGAGATAAGAAATGATGCCTGTACGTCAATATGAAACAAAGAAAGGAGTGGGTGGCCCCAGGAGATATGCTAATGCCAAAAGTCAAGCAAGATCTCCACCCAAAAAAGACCATGATTTGCATTTGATGGGACTGGGAAAGCATGATACACTGGGAAATGCTTGAAAGGAACGCAAAAGTTCACAAGAAGCTCTACATTGCCCTACTAACTGACAAGACCAAGTCATCTTGCTCCAAAAGGAAAACTCCAAGAGCTCGAATGAGAGGTTCTTCAACATTCACTTTACTATCCGGACCTTGTGCCAACAGATTATCCTTTTTTTCTCTCCTTATCGAATCAAATAAAGGGTGTTAACTTTGATAGCAATAAGAATCTCAAAAACTGGCTCAACTTTTTTGACACCAGACCGGGCGACTTTTGGCAGAAATTGGTTTAACAATCAACAAAATGGTTGAGAGGTGGGAGGAGGTTGTAAACAGTAACGACAAATACATAATTGATTAATTTTTTGTTATAATTATTGTTTTTTGTTTAAAGAAAGCTCTTTGAAAAAAATTGAACAAACTTATTCCCCAACCCAATAATTAAAAACTTTAAATGGTACAATAAATTTCATTATTAAAAATAAATAAATAATCAATTCGTTATTTATTTCTAAATATTAAGTTATTGCTAGGTATATATATCCGGAAAGTAGAGTCCAACTGATAAAATCACGAATTATTGCATTTGACTTTTATTTTAAAGATTGATCAGTAAAATTCATTGACATCATTTTAATCTATTTTTTTCAGTCTTTTTGTTGGTCAGCGACTTGCAGCTGAAATTGTTGATTAACTAAAGTTGCTTTTTAACAAATATATTCCTAAAAAACTTAATCAAATGAAACAAATGGTTGCTAAAACATTTGATAGATTTGATTTGGCTGCTAAAAAGATTTGGTATATTAGATATTGCTGCTAAAAGGTTGTATAATGTAAAAGTTGTATTGTCTAAACTAACAATATTGGTTGATTGTGTTTAATTTGTTTTAACAAAAGTTGAAGGGGATACTACTTTTTTTGTTTTGAATAAAAAAAGTAGTATCCTACTCTGAAACACAAACTTTGTTAAACAAAGCTGTTGTGCTGAGAAAAAGGTTAAGCTTTGTAATTCCAGAGGCGTAGGTGCATTTGAGCCTTCAACGGCTTGGTTGTGTTGAAATAAAACACACTAAATAAAATTCTTTATATATGAAAAGTATGAAAATAATTTTAAAAAATCTTCACAAGAAAGCTGGCTAACAAAGATGTCTCTAAGCATTTCCTTAATGTGTAGTTTTTTGTATGTATGCTTTGAAGAAGCTCAAACATCATTTGCACAGTAAAATAAATCAATTTAGTGTTTAAACATTTGAGTTTGTACATTTTATATGTAATGAAAGTGAAATATAGAAATATACGACTTATAATTATATATAACTATAATATTAATTTTTGTGTTTTAATATAGTGGTAGTTGTGTACTCATACCGTGTAAATACTTTTAAAATAATATAATTTAATAGTAATATTATTTAATAATAATATTTTAAAATAATACTGTATTAATTACCTATACACCTGCAAATTTTAATTTAACAAAAAAGAAAAGTACATAATAGCTTATTAATAAACAAACAATAAATAATGGAATAATAAGTAAAGAATAGTAGATTTTGATTTAAGATTGTAAATTGTGTTATGCTATAAACTTAAGCTCTGCTTATTTTAATTTTGTCATGTGCTTAAAATCTTAATGATTCTAATACAAGGGCATCATTTAATCATTTATTCACAATTATAATCCTCTGTTAACTCCTAGATTTTTAATTGCCTATACATTTATAACTGCAATAAAGTTGCATGAGGTTATACTTGTAGACTTTATTTTAATGCAAATACTGAATTTATAAATTAATAACTTTTTTTTTTAGGATATAAATGTAGAGTTTGAAGCTGAGATGCCTTTTGAAGAAGATTTTCATGGAATAAAGCAGCTACTACTCAATGTATTTTTTTTGTTGAATTTTATTAAAATGTTTTACAATAACCTAATCGCATAAGATAACCACATGTTCCAATAATGTGATGTAATAAAATTTTTTACAGCAATGTAATATATTGTTAAGCATACTTTTAAGTAATAATAGTGGCAAAGAAAATAATTTTTCTAAGTTTGATTTCTAGAGAAAATCCAATCGTGTTATAATATTATTAATATATGATAATATTATTCTGTAAAAAGTTTTTAGGTATAAAACCGTGATCAAGACAGCATTCTGATTTTGCAATGGAATAGACATAATTTTTGTTACAGGTTATTATTGCATAAGTCTTTATATATTAAGACATGTGCTGACACAATAGCAGGTCTTGTTTTAAAGCATTACGTGTAGAGCGATTTTACGTAAGCAGTAAGCGATTTCAATTACGCGACTTTTTATCATTTTTTTTATCATGACGTTTATGTAAAAATATTTGTTACAAAAGTTTGAATGTCAATTATGTTTGATATAAGCACTATTTACTAGGGATCGTCCATTAATTATGCAATGCAAAACTTATTTAAAAATTATAAGTAGGAGATCATTTTGCTTTTTTGCGCGACAGTTTTTGCTGGACTTTAAACCTTGTTTTTATACTTGGTTTAATTAATGATTCTGCGAGGGAAAAAAACTTTGCGAGGGAAAACTTTTAATACTTTGTCTTTTGTCTATAAGTTTAATTTCGCATTACGTAATATATGGATGATCCCTAATAAAAAAACTCAATTAAAATTAAAAGTTTATTTTTTATTTTTTGTTGTTGTTGCAATAATTGATTTTTTTAGTGTGAAGCAAAGATAATTAAACATTATTTAATTCTGATAAATGATTTAAACTAATTTAATATAATCTTATTCTGATAAAGAAAATTTATAATTAAATTTAGATTTAAAAAATGTATGATTTAATTTTGATTTTAGGCAATTTTTAGGTTTTCCTTCTCAAACATTTTTTTTTTGATTCTCAAAATTAATTTTTAAATAAGCGACTACATCAAAATTTGCGCAAAATGTAAGTTAAATTGTTTTTTATTACATAAGTTAAATTACAGCAGTTATTTTTTAATAAACAATATATACAGTGATATAATTTAAATAATAAACTAATAAACTTTTAATAAATAAAGTAAATAATTTAACGTAATTTTTTTATTTGTTTTTGGTTAATTTTTTATATCATTTTTGTAATAAAAAATCATTTGTAGTTGCAAAAGTACAATTAGAAATTTAAGAAATAATCATTTAGTAATTCTATAATTTAACATATTTTAATTCATTTAAGGCCATTTTCCACAAGACAATGTAGTTGCGCAAAGCAAATTTTTCACTATGACAAAACGCTGTTTTGATTTCCACTTTCTTTTGGGCTACTTTTTTTTCGTTGTCAACAATAAAAATGACAGCAATATATTTATGCTGTATGTTCAACTAAAAGTAATTATTACTTTTTTAGCATACTTTCTACTTTTAAGCATATGGAGAAAGCATGTGGGTTTTCCTTCCATGCATTAATATTAACATTTCTGTCTTTATATGTAAGATTTATATTTTCGCTGCAGCGAAACGCTGTAGTGAAAAAAATCAGCATAATTGCCAGAAATATTTTATCTGCACATGGTTATTGACAAAAAAATGCGATTTGCAGGAATATTTCGTCTTGTTGAAAACGGCCTTTATGCAAATGTCGAGAAAAAAAAACAAATTTGTTAATATCAGGCATTGTTAAAAATGCAATATTAAATTTAATTTTTTAATATTGAAAAAAAATAAATAATAAATAAAATAAATATTCCGTTATAGTAATAATAAAAATTATAGTAATAATAAAAAACGACTTGTTTTGCAATAATAATTAATATTAGTAAGTAATTTTAAAAAGTTAATATATTTAAAAAAAATAAAGACAGTATTATGACGTCAAATATCATGTTAAGCTAATGCATTAAGAAATCTTTATTTAAAACTTAAAATTAAAAAGGTCTTGAAATGGTTTCAAGGTTTGCATTAGCTATTTTTTAGTCTAATTTTCAATAGGAACAACAATATGGCTTGTAGTAAATGTGACACATTTGTTCATAGAAAGTTTCAAAATAGATCTAACTAAATACAAATTAATTTTCATTACTTCTTAGATTAATGGAGAAAGTAGTTGATATAAAGATTATTATCTATTGTCTCAATGCTAATAATTTAATGATAATATATATTATTATATATTATCATTAAATTATTAGCATTGTTTTGTAAATAAAAAATCATGGTTTCCTAAACAAAAATACAAACTTACTTGAGACTATTGATTTCTTGATTTATATATCATGTAAGCTTCTCGTTGACACACTAAGGTATTTGACAAAGTTCTTCACAAAAAACTGTTACAAAAACTTGAATAAAGAAATTAGTATCAAGAAATGTAAGCTAATGCATGTCAACCAACCCAAATCTGTTCTACATCTCAACTTCATTGACAACCAATTTTATTTGAATGAGAGCTTGGCGTTCAGTTTTCCAATAGTCAAACATAAATTACTGTTTCTAGACTAACAATATGCTTGGTGTCCTAAAACACAGTTTATTTGCTGAGAAGAACATAAGCTATATATAGCTTATGTATGTTTTTATGTTTATGTAATTTTTTTAGATTTTTTAGTCACTGTTTTGTGTCTTTATTTAGAATTTCAAAGCGTTCAACACTGTGTAACAAAATTAAAGCAAGAAATTTGTTGTGAAAAAAAAAACAATATAAATAGCATGCCTCACTTTATTATATATCATACTTCGTGATATATCATTCTACTTCGTTATACATCAGTCTACTTAATTCTTTCATTCATACTTTATTATACATCATTCTACTTCATTCTTTAATTCATACTTTATTATATTTCAAGTAATTTTTTTCACAAATATAAATTTTTTTATTTTAAGAATTTTTTACATTTTTAATTGAACTCTTAGATAAAAACTGAATATTTTTAAAAGTGCCTGACATCATTTCCTGGATCTTCTTTTAAATTAATTTTTTCTTTAGCAACATGTTTAGGCGCAAATTTCTCAGTTTGAATATACTTGATTTTGTTAGTGGTATATAAACCTTTTTACTAATAAAAAAATTGTAAGCCTGGCAATTTTTAAAAGTATTTTTTGCAATACTTTTTATTGACTTTATTTATGCGCAAGTTTTCTTGGTTTAAAAGTTTATATAGCTTTTTTAAACAATGAGATGTTTTAATTTCTCCATTATTGGATTGCTTTTAGTTTAGGTTTAAATACTTTTCCTATTAAAGATTGACTGCACTCAAATTTTTTGGCGAGATCTCTCTGCTACTTATATTTGTCTTTAAGGAGTGAATGTTTAATTTTGATTATATTTATCTTTAAATTCTTCTATTAGCAC